ATATATATATATATATAAAATCTGACTCTTTTATATATCATTGCAGGTCACAAGTTAGGTCATATATAACCAGACCTAAGGCACAGGTCATGGTATTTAATGATACTTAATGACACAGAGCATGTATAATTATCCATGAACAAATCCAGGAACTGGGATGACAAGGCATTAGTGAGGACCACAAGGGTACATGTCAGCTCTAGCACTATTTGCGGTATTGTGCTAGGGCAAGCTTCAACATCACTTGCATATGAAATTATGAAGCAAATGTAGTGGCAGCTGATCCCCTTCATTGCCAAGTCTTACTCTCCTCAAGCTTCCCTACCGCCTCATTCCCCTGCTGTAGCCCCCAGAAAAAGCCCTGTGTAAGTATCACATTGGAGGTTACACAGGGTAGAGACCTTCTGCATGCCCACACTGGACACAGGGTAGAGACCCTGCACATGCCCCCACTGGAGACAGGGTAGAGACCTTCCGCATGCCCCCACTGGACACAGGGTAGAGACCTTCCGCATGCCCCCACTGGACACAGGGTAGAGACATTCCGCAAGCCCCCACTGGACACAGGGTAGAGACCTTCCGCATGCCCCCACTGGACACAGGGTAGAGACTTTCTGCATGCCCCCACTTGACAGCACTCAAGCCTTACAACTGTCCACTCAGCACCCAGCAATGCATCATGGGAGGAGGGAAGCTAGTTTCATACTCTTTCATAGTGAACATACTGGGTATTTTACAAGGCTCTTCACTGGGTATGAACAGTTTACCAGAGGAGTGCAGTGAAGATAAGTCTCAGCAAAGAGAAGCTGGTCTATCCAAAGATCCGGTTACTTTGCCCTAAATCAGGGGTGCCCACAGTTAAAACAAACACTGGAGCGATCGGCTGATCACTCCAGTGTTTGTAAATAACTGGGGACACTACTCGTCAATTGAAAAGTAGATCTCCAGATGAAAAATAGTGGGCGCCCCTGCCCTAAATGGTCTGAGTACAGGTTTGCTTTAAGCAGCAGCTTAGCACTCCCGATCCTTGATCACCTGATCAGTAGAGTTTATTAAAGACTGAGAGGGGTCTAGAGCTGCAGCTAACGATTATTTTCAAAATCGATTAGTTAGCCGATTATTAAGTTCGATTAATCGGTTAATCGGATAAACTATAAAATAAAGTTTAAAAAATGGCTCCATTGATAGGACTACTAGTTTGTATTGAGGTTGTAGTCCATCACAGGAGCAAGCTTGGACCGGTGGAAGTATAAAAAAGAAAAAAAGATAGTGTGGTGTGCAATATAGTGAAATGGAAAGTGTAAAATTATACAGCAATGCATGCAGAATGGCAACGGCTATAGAGGACTACAAACCCAAGCAAAAGCACATTATACAGCACAATGCAGAATACCGCCAGCTATAGAGGAATACAACAAATCCCAGCAATAGTACATTATAGCTGGCGGCATTCTGCATTGCGCTGTATAATGTACTATTGCTGGGTTTTGTAGTCCTCTATAGCTGGTGGTATTTAGCATTGTACCACTTTATAATGTACTATTGCTGGGATTTGTTGTAGTCCTCTATAGCTGGTGGTATTCTGCATTGAGCTGTATAATGTATTATTGCTGGGACTTGTAGTCCTCTATACAGCGCAATGCAGAATATCACCAGCTATAGAGGAGTACAACAAAATCCCAGCAATACATTATACATACATTATACACTGTATTGCTGGGATTTGTATTCCTATGTATAATATACAGCACAATGTACCATCAGCTATAGAGAAATACAAATCCCAGCAATACATTATAGAGTACCATGTGTGGGAAAGTGCAGGCTTACCTGAGCAGTCTTCCAGCAACGTGCTTCTGAGATCGGACCTGTCTATCAGCAGCTGTCATCCCCCCACACCTGCTCCTCCTTACTACATCTCCCCGCGTCCCTGTGCCGATCGTTGATGTGGATGGGCAGGAAATGTGAGGCGGGGAGGAGGTGTGGCGCGTGGAGCCCGGATGCGAGCGGGTCTGGCAGCGGTTAGCATGAGGTGGGGAGGAGGTGCGGCGCACAGCGTGTAGAGCTGTGAACAGGGCCAACTGATCGGAAGCCGATTAATCGATTATTGAAAAAGTTGACAACTTTTTCAATAATCGATTATAATCGATTATGTCGATTAGTTGTTGCAGCCCTAGAGGGGTCTCTTAGATTTGTTGTTGTACTGAACTGATATCATACTGTTTAAATGCAAGGTAAAGAAGCAACTAACATGATGGGTAAACAGATAGAATATTGAGGTCCTCCTACCTGAAACTCTAGTGTACACTTAGTTCCCTGAGTAATATCTTCATAGAAGCATTGCTTGGCATTATCAGGCAGCTCAAAGGTGATTTCTGATGCAGTGGCACATCCCAAAATAAGCAGAAGTAGTGAAAGCAAAGACCCCCAATTGGATTTGTAAACCATATCCTGCAGCATCTTCAGGCTTTTTACTGGTCACTACCACGGCAGCAAACACCTCCTGCAAAAAGAAAGAATGTAAAACATCAAGTCAGCTTCTCACGTTGTGTTCTCATTCAGGATAAAAATATTACAATATGAAGCAGTCTTATTCTTTGAACCAAAACCACCCAATCATCTAAATGAGATCATTATAAAGCAGTGTATACTATGATCACAAGGAGATGGTGCTGCACTGAATCACCGGCATCCATACTAACAGTATACTTACATCCCTACCCTTAGTGTTAGAACATTCTCAGCCTTCAGTTTGTGGTGGCCATCATAAAAGGAGATCAGTCCACAATACCTGCACTAGTCTTAACACGACTGATATCAACGTTTGGAATGAGCATGTAACCCTGAAGATATAGGATGGTGTCCAGCATACGAGGCCTCTCATAAACATTCTTTCTGACAGATAATCTCCGTTGTTGAGACACAAGTGTGCCCCAGTAATGTCTAAGAAGCTTTAGTATTTTACCAAACCGACCTATGAGCCAAGACTTTGGATGGCCACACTTTACATGTCTCTACATTCTTCTATTAGAATCACCCAGAACGATATAGTGCCTTGTAGTAATGCACCTTATCCAACCATGCCAGCAGAAAATAGTGCCCTCAGTGGTATGTATTACCCACACAAAAAGGATGTATTCACTTTCCATAAGCACCCCATGTCTGGGCATGTATGCAAAAACACAACTTACTATACATACATCATATTCTAAACAGGATCAGTACACATCTGTTGTGTGTGTGGCAATTCAACTTGTCAAATCAACCTGTGTCCCCGTTGACACTCCACCACCCCGATACTCCAACCCCCACAGGTATCCATGACACAACCCCGGCACTCTATGTCCTATGCCCCCCCCAGCTTTGTATGCGCTTTATCGCCCCTGCACTATGCCAGGACCCCGCCATACACCTGCAGTACGAGGTGGTCCCAGCTCCGTTTCCCCCCCGGTGTCACTCACCCGGCACAGTCCCGGATATGGGCTGACAGACGAGGTCCTGTAAGCGTGGCAGAGGAGGAGGGTGACTGGGACGATGGAGTCTTGGAAGCGGAAACCAGCGATGGCTGCCCCGGAAACGTTCTCAGTCAGTGCATACGTGTTCGTCACACAGGAGGAGGAGGTGGGGGGAGGGATGAGCTGTGTGTTCTCCATAGTGGGGAGTGTACTCTCCTCTCATTCTTCCCTACACTTCCTCATTCATTTATCACCGGCCCTGCATATTGTGTTCTGTCATACACTCCCACTGCACCTCTGTCTGAATCCTAACCCCTCTTTGTCCTCGTCCCTCTGATGTATAAATAAATGTAAGGTTGAAAGTCTTTCTTGTGTAGGGAACGGTAATGACCCCGCTTCGGTTTACTGTCATGCTGTTTTCTTTTGGAGAGACTTCCATTCATTTCCTGCCATTAAAACACAACACATGAGGTAAAATGACTTAGTCGTCATTGGACCGGGTGTCCCCATTGCAGGATTCCCTCATTCCTCCTGTTCTGGTGAACACTGACAATTTTGGATTCCACATCCCTTTCTTCCCAGGCGACATCAGAGAGAGTGAATCTCCACAATGGGGGACACAGGCAGGAATAACTACCAGACAGATGTTCTAACCTTTCCCCTCTCTTTCCAAAACCCCAACTACAAAGACTTTGCTTCTAGATATACTTGAATCCTGTTCCTGCCAGCACAGTGAATGCCACAATACAGTGTTGAGTTTGTGCTTATATTTTACAGCTGAACATGGTGTGATACAGGTGACCTGGGCAGATACAAAGGAGCCCCATTGGTTGTATGGTCGATAAGAAGTGTGTCAGTTGCCTGGTCGCTCTTCCCCCGATGGCAAAGGATCTGGAGTCCACTGTATCCTATTTTCTGCAGATGTCGTAGGAGTCCATCTTGGCCCTAAATCTGTGGAACTTCTCCCAATTACCCATTATGTCACTTGATGTTTTTGGGTCTCCTCCTGGATACCTTTTTGCTTGGAGTATTTCTACCTCAGAAGAAACCATTTGCTGTAGTTATGATCTGTCAGCTACGCAGCTCACCCTAGGCTCCTCTGAGGTTTTTGCATGTAGGTTCTCAGTTTCATGAGGCCTCTTTCATGGTGCTGCCATATGCTCAGTTTTATATGAGATGTCTTCAATGGAACATCCTCTCTACGTGGGACAGAGTCCCTCTGTCTTTTTAGAGAGGTTTAACAACATCCCCAGACTAGGAAATTTCTGTCATGTCACGGTGGTACTTTCCTTGACAGTGACTTCAGGTAGGTCCTTCCTCCCTATGTGTTGAAGGACATGATGGCCAGTCTGCTTAATTGGGGAGCACTTCTAGGCGTCTGCTCACTACAAGGTGCTTGGTTGCCATAGGAATGTCAGTTGCCAAGCAACATCTTGGAGTTGCAGGTGATTCACCTGACTCTTCACCACTGGATAGGTCTTTTGACAGGTCTTCGGTCAAGGCCTGGTCAATTAATGCAATTACAGTGACTTGAGTGAATCATCAGAGAGGAAAAAACAGTACAACAGGGAGGGAGTTCAAGTACATCCTGTCCTGACCAAAATGTTACGGTCTAGGTCTCTCCAAGATGTACATTGCCGATATGAGAAAATGGCATCAAAGCTGAAAGGATCTCCCAATGGGGCCCAGGAGAGTGTAGGCAGACTTCATTAGTCTGATCACTAGTGGTCTATGCCCACTTCTAGATCATGCATCACTGTTGTCTCAGGGTCCGATCTGCCATCCTGCCTCTCAGTTTCTAGCTTTAACGGCGTGGCTGTTGAGACTCAGCTATTTCGAGATTTAGACTTTTATCCTATCCATGCTCTAGCTAGTTAAGGCTAGTTCCTCCAGTGTGCACTGCTAGGCTTGCAAATTTTATTTCCATTGGTGTCAGAAAAAGAAGCTTCTTCTGCATGCATCCTTAGTGGGACAGATACAGTGGCACCTGATCCCTAGTACAAACTAGGGTTAGGTCTAGGCCCTGGTTTCTTCTTCAGAGGCATTTGCCAACTTTTTCCTGGTGTCACTCATATGACAATTTCTTCTCCGATTGTGGAGTCTGAACTTGGTAATTTGTTTCTTCAACAGCTATCTATTACCAGAATATATGTTACCAATAGTCGGCAGTGCCAAACTTCCTGTGAGGAGACGTATGACCTGTAAGAAGACACCTGCGAGGACCCAGAAGCTGTGCTGTGACTCAAAAGTCTGGTAGTGATTTAGGAGTCTCACCCATTGAAGAAGTTTAGAATCCCAGAACTGTAATCTGGAGACTGGAAAACTAAAAAGAACACTGTGCCTTAGACCAGAAGACCTGAACTATGCAAAGCTGATGGAACCTTAAGGCTGAGACTCGCATGCTGAAAGTACACAATATTTCCTTTTTATCAATCACGGAACCAAAGGCTGTGGGCTCACAATGGAGCAGGTTTCCCTGGGGTCATTGTTTGCCTGATTAAAGGATCCTGTGAGATTCCAAAATGTTGCTTTCTGAAATGCTAAAAAGATTCCAGTAAATACATTTTATTTGTTGTGCTGGCAACATACTCACTGGTAAAGTGTAAGCAGAAATTTTTTTTGATAAAAATATCAGACTGTAAGAGAAAAGTCTATATTGTGTAGGGCTTCTTATTTAGCATCTTGTTTAGTATCAGAGGATTTTGTTAGGGGTGAGGATGAGTAAATTACCAAATTATGGAGTACTCTTGACAAAAGCAACAAGACTTGTTAAATATTGCAAATCAGAAACTCACAATGTAAATTTGAAATTGCATTCTGTTACTATTGGAGAGGACTTCATTGAAAAATCCAAACTCTGCTGTGTCTGGCAGTGGTTCTTCCTGCTGAGCCATCCTGGAACCTTGGATAGCTCCTTGCCTGATCTCCTATGCAATCCTCAGTTAAACCCAGTTTTCTGTTGAACTCTGAACTCGTTCCTCCTCCCTTGAACTTCCTATTTAACCATGCCTCTGCACTTCCTGTTTGACAGATTATTGTGCACCTGCGGATATCTTGCTTTATGCTACTACTGCGATACAATCCCCTCATACTGCTATCCGTGTACTGACCTTTGGCTGCTGATTCAACTACTACGCTTATCGTCTTCCAATTAATACCTGATACCTTTGGCTACTGACCTCGGCTTGATCCCTGACTACGCTTCTGCCTGCTCCTATACTACTACTGTCTGCTTGTGTACCGAACCCGGCCTGTTATACCATGAATTAGCCTGCTGTTATAGCTACTGGACTCCGAGCCTGATCCCAGATTGTGTCAAATGGTTTCTTAAAATGGTTTTGTAATTTGCAATGTGCTAGAGATATATCCATCTGATGTAGAAACTGTTCAGCCTCTTAAAACCATATACAGTAAACTTCCTGTTATCCGGCATCCATTAGCATTGGTAGATTCCAGATAAATGTAGTTTCTGGTTGCTTGAGAGTTACTATTACAAAAAGGTCTAACGAATGCCATACCAGAACATAAACTCTGTATTGACTTCATATTAATATTGATATGCAGTAATTAAAAGAAAATTAAGACAAATAGTCGCACTTAAAACAAATTAAGACAAATAGGCACACAATTGTTTCAAGAATAATACATGTCACAGATAAGCAGAACAGTGAGTACACAGGGGATTTTTTTTCTGGTTAGATGAGAGAGAGTTCTGCTTAGTTAAAGACCAGATAACAGAGAGTTTACTGTATATACTACTGCTGTGTATTATGTGGTGTATAATTTGATCTCCCCTTACATGGAAAGATCGAGCAAATGCAAAACTGTAAGCTGTCACACACAATAGAAACTATGATAGAACTCACAGACTGTATGAGTCTTGCATTTGAGTATGGAGGCGTGGAGCAGCTGATCATGGTTTTAGATGCTTTGTAAGAATATATCAGGTAAAACAAATGATTATATATAAATATATGTGCCACCCTTATATGTGAATAAACAAATATACTTCAATAAATATTCTAATATACAAATGTGAACATTATTTGCTTTCGGTTCCTTAGATGTACTGCTGGAAGCCTTGATATGTACAAATTGTGTCTCCTTACCTGCAGTAGTAACATTTCAGTAGTTATAGGGCTTTCAGCTATGATAGACTGGGATGTTTACATATCTGGAAGTTTCAAATACCAAAGAGACCCATTAGGAATTGCATTTAAGAGGTTTTAGTTTGTGTTGTCATGGGGGGATAATGTATGTACAAACACTAACATTTTATCCTTGGATGTATTGTATTGTATTTTAATGAAAGGTCAGATCTCACATTTTTCATTGATGTCCAAAAAGAGGGAACTTTCATGCTTTTCATAAATATTTTGGAAGTGACACTGGGGCCTCAATATATGGTGATGATATTAGATATTGGTGAAATAAAAAGTACCGATATCTGACTCTACCTCATTGTTCCCCTTTTAGAGAAAGTGAAGATGATTGTAGCCAGCAAAAAAAAAAAGAGCCATTGTGAAACATATATTACCATATGCACCATAATGCAAACCTTCTAGTCGATAGTATTTGTCTGTTGCTTGTTTGTTGTGGATCAGTCCTAGTTAGAATTCATCTAAGTGGGAGATATGTAGGACATCCTGTCAGACTTACACATATATATTCCATATACCATATATGGATGTACAGGTATAAACATATACCAGTTTGGTAGCAGCTTGACATGCATTTACCCCAAAAGGGAAATGCCTTTGAACTAATACAATGACAGACTCTTTGCTAATTCTACTGAAAAGGCAAATGCAAACTGTATTTTACAACACCCTAGGCTTATGCTAATAGGACTGATAGAATGAATGGCCCCAGTAGATTATAGTATTTGTAATTGTATGCCAAATAGGAAAATGTTTATTGCTGTCATAGGATACAAGGGTTGTAAATACTGCAGCTGGCCTTAACTGATATAATCGATAACGGCAGGAAGAGTATTTGGCATTTCAAAGGGAAACCTGTTTATGCCGCTGTCATAGATGATATCCAAGGAGTATTTTTTATCAACAATATCAAAAAATGTTTGTCTGATTGGCCAACCAGTTTCCTCTACATTTTAGTGAATGAGGAAAAATT